TGTAGTGAATTTTATTTTGAATCGAAATCATGAAATGAAATTAATGAAAATTTCTATTTTAATCAATGTATTTCAAATACATCAATTTTGTATCTGTTTCATTATTTTAATGCCAATTTTTATTATTGAACGTCTTCGGTAGTAACTTGCTCCGAATTCGGTTGGGATATTTTATAGATTCTCCATTTTGAAAGAGTCAATCTGATCTGCGGAGGAACTCTTCTTTCTGCCTACGCTGATGAAAACGCTTTCAAATGAAAAGTATTCATATGAGCAGTGAAATCTACTTGAAATTGCAAGCTTCAATAACTTTTTAAAAAAAACATTAGTTTAAGTATGAATATTACGCTTACTCCTAAGATACTGATTGAACTTCAAGGAAAATAACTTTTCGTATTTTACAAAATCATTAGGACACATAATTGTAGACTTTTTTACAAAAAAATGTGAAACAGAACGTAGATCTTTCATTGCTGATCTAGATATGCTTAGTTTCCACATTTTGTTTAAACAACCAACTAGCTTGTGAGTTTAACAAATAATTCAAATTAATAGTTTTGTTTTTGTTCATCTTACCAGTTATTGTTTGATTATTTGATATGATTGTACTTGTACTTGATGGTGACATTTGAGTCATTAACTGTTCATTATTTTTATTTTCAAGATTATTTTTAACTAAATCTTCTGATATTAAATTTTGTGGTTGAATGACGACTAAAGGTGATTGTATTAGTTGATCATCTGTGTCAATAACAGTTGATGCTAAACTTTTTTCATCACATTCATCACTATTTTTTGATGGTACAATTGAAGGTATTGATGAGGATGTTGTTGTTATAGAAGAATCTTCATCTGTACTAAATAAAAATGAACCTGTTGAACTTACACCACTTGAACTATGTACACTTCGAAATGAATTTGTTATTAATGATGAATCATTTTTTTCCATAGTTTGGTCATTATTCCATGACATACGTTTAATTATTGTTGCTGATGATGATAACATTTGTTTAATTGGTGATGATGATGTTGGTGTTGTAGCATGTGTACTTGTACCATCAGCTGTAAAATATCGACCAAAATTTTTACGATCTGTACGTGAATTTCTGCGTGTTTGTTCAACTATTTTAAATACATTCGATTCAACTTTTGATAAACGTTGAATATCATTTGTTAAACAATTTGAATCATTTGTATTAAGACTAGGTAATTCCACTAATGGTAAAGAAAGACTTGGAAGTGATTGATGTATAGTATTTGTTGGTGTTGGACAACATGGTGGTGATATTGTTTTATGTAGGTTTTGAAATTTTATTTTTGATTCTTCCATTAATAAATGAAAATTTGCTTTGGTTCGACGTATATTTTCTATCCATTGTTTGCTTAAATTTGTTTGAAATAAATAAGCACTTTCAATTAAATTGTATTCCGAAAATACTATTGCAACAAACGAAGCCTGAAAAAAAGATATTTATTCAAGCCTTTCGATCGCGACATTTTCTGGTATTCTGCGCGAACACGAAAAAACATAGTTTAATCTCTCTCTTGTGCGTTCATCTATCACAATCATACGTATTCAAAATTGAGATTCATTATTCATAACTATACGAACTGGCTTTCCTTTGAACATATCATATGATGTTCATTGTCTAAAAAGACGAAAGAACACAAAATATTTCTTTTTTGTTCTGCATGTCATCTCGTAAATGACATACGGGATTGAAAGGTTTAATAGAGGAGCCGCTAAATTCTTCTCCTTTGAATATTTTTTGGAACTCATATTAAGAAATTATATCATGAAACTTATGAATCCAAAATATAAAATTTTGATGATTAGATCATAAAAATTATTTAAAAAATTGCTTTTTGAGATATTTTTTCTGTTTTGAAGTAAGAAAAAATTTTTAAACAATGCGGAAAAGAACCCTCTACGAAATGGACTGCATTTGTAGTCATTGTAATAAGTTTTAGCAAACGACCGTGCCTCCACAAGGAAGAAAGATCTAGCTTTGTGAATTTCTCTCGAAATTCTATATTTTTTGATATATTATTCAAAGTACAAAAAGACGTGCACGACAGGTTAATAGAAAACACACTCGGCACATATCCATAGTCCTAAATAACCACGTTGATTAGCTATTGATTACTATGTAAAGCTTTTTCCTCATAAGAATATGACTCGCAATTTATGATCATGATAAAAACAGAGCATGAAAATGCTATTTGATTGGATACTGACTTTATAAAGTTATACAAAATATAGGATCGAGTACAGATCGATCTCAATTTATTTATAGTCATCTTAGTTAGCCTATCTAGTTTTTTATAAGTCGAAATGTGATAATATATCTTATTTGGTTTCAGATCATCAAATTCTAAGCTTTAAATAGTATTTTTATTTTTATTTTCTTAGATTTTGTTTTTATGTAGAGAAAATTGAACTTTTCTCACATTAGTTCTACAGCCATATACAGATCGCATATATTTTAACGAATTTTCTTCTATAAGAGAACCGATTCTGAGAAGAATTCAGGTAAATTTTTCTTAAAAACTAAATTTTACCAAAATATATTGGATCCGATGTAGAGTTTTGCAGTGATTTCAAATATTCTATTCGTTTTGCTCTTAAATTAAACTATGCTGCGACAACTACTGAATATGAACATCATTTTAACAGCGTCTGTATGGTTTTGTCACTCACTACAACAATTGTGACGCCAAATAAAATCCGGTGCACGCCTATTTGTACTTTCGATAATGTATCAAAAGATGCAGATTCTCAAGAGCTTCCATATCTCGATTCATATTTTTCTTGTGAAGACACAGTGGACTTAATATTTTGAGTCTATAAATTACAAGAAATAATATTTCATTGGAGCTACAAAAAAAATACAAAAAAAAACTAAGGTTAACGGTGGGTGGTGGTCTGGCGGATCCTTTCTTAACAATATTATTTAGACTTACAGTATTTGGTTCTGCATTATTATTGCTACTACTTCCACCACGACGATCATATTCTCGCACATCAATGCGATCAATACGTATAGGTGATTTAAGAATTTTATTTATTATATTCGATGTTGTACGATTTGGTTGGCCATCATTACTTATCATTGATAATGATGAATTTGTTGAACCACTTCGTTTGCTAGCTTTTGTTATAAGCAGCATATCAGAAAATAAATAACAATAAACATCTTGACTATTTTTTGAATCTTTCATTTTCATTGGACCTTGTTGAATTATTTGACGACGATAACCTCGAACATTTAATGGCATATCTTCAAGAAGATTTAATCGATTTGACATTGAATCACGATTATATTCTTGAAGAATCTTTTAAATAAATTAAAAAAATTAATAACAAAAGACAACAATAAATCAATAATACATACAGAAGTAAGTTCAGGTGGAGCTAATACGTTTTCATATGGACCTATACGATCATTAATCTGACGAACGCGTTCTTCTTGTTCTTGATTGTGTAATTTTGAATTGACACGATTTACAAATGTAGCAACTTTTTGAATCTAAATAAATATATTTGTAATTAGAAAAAAGCAAGAATTTAATCATTAACAAAAAAAAATCCTAACATGGAGCATTTCGTTTACGCTCATACTATGCTCGTATATAGGGATTCATTAGATTAAAATATGATCTAAAGAATCTATGTTCTTATTAAGTTTAGATCAAGATATTTAATTAATCGTGTAGCAGATCAATTTTTGAGTAGAAGCATCTTTTCAAATTTTGATCTGAAACTTTATTAACGTGAAGACATCGGTAGTTTTAGTGAATGTACAGACATCAAGGCATCCGACAAGGTGGAAGGATATTCGCTTGGGTCATTGTCAAATTTCCATACCATAGTATGAAATATTTTTCAACAAGTTAGTCAAATGGATACTAATAAGCATTTTTAAGTCAAGAGATAAACAATTCGAAAATTCCTGTTACATTCTGATAGTAAGGTACTCTTTCGGGTACCTTGAAACCAAAAGGTTCACAAGGTTTAAATTAGCTTATGTATAAAGTTTCATCATTTTTAGATATGGTGTCTTCGAGATATAAATTTTTCAAAACCAAAGCTGTTTTCTATTGATGTTCTTAAGGATTCATATTTCATAAAAGAAGAAGATCCTCAAGTGTGAGTCTCCATTGTCAATAGGCTTTACAGCAGTTTGTAGAGTTCAATGAGTTGATTACGATGACATAAAGCGTTCTTTCGTATACACTACCTTTGAAGAGTTAGGTCGATCTCAACTACACAAAAAATAATTGTAAGCTGTTATTATGGAAAATTAATTGTTATGTTAGTTTAGTTGTCATAATTGAAAACTTTAATACTAGATGCGCCTTAATTGATATGACACTACTATACATTAACATAAATAGAAGTACTAACTACGCATATACTCTGAATATTTAAATACCGTTAATGCTATGCATACATAAAATACAAATATTTTTTCAAAATTGATTCATATGATTTTGGAATATTATTTTGAAGATGTAGTAATTAAAACCATGTCGAATATTTCGTTTTCGAAAGGCTACATTCTAAATAGCTGTTTTCTCACATGTTTATTTGAAGAAGTACAACAGATAAGACAGGTATTTGAAATATAATCAACCTATACTGTTAATATATGTTCACGATATTCTACTATTCAAATTATAGATGTCGTTAACACTTCTTTTTATGTTCATTGCGTGGATGCATACTGTCAATTAAGGCGTATTTAGTTTTATATTTTACGACGCTGAAAACTAAACTAACATCAAAATGAAGTAAGCTTGTTGCCATTGTGATCAACTCATTGATCTCTTCAAACTGGCATAAAACTGATTGAAAATGAAAAAACACACTTGGAAATCTTCTCGTATCAGAGATGCAATGTCAAAACATGATTGAATTTCATTCATGATTTATTCTAAGTGAAACTTTCATATTGACAAAATTTAAGAATGAAATTCGACAAGATAATTTCGCTTGAAAATTGTCCTCATATAGAAAAAATCGCTATCTTCGTTAAATTTTCATAAGAACATGAACTTATTAAAATTTAATCTAATCTAGCGGAGTCTTACACATCAGCACAATATAAATATAAACAGTGCGAATCATTTGAGAATATTCTCTCGTAAGATATGCAAACATTCGAGCTTCTTTTTTTTTTCATTCGTTATATATCCATCTCACTTCAAAACTTGTTGAGGTTTGGTTAATACTCCTGAACGAAGATTATTCTTCATTTAATGACTATAATTTGATACTTAAGTTTTTCTTCCTTGCTCTAATTTAAAGTCAAACTTTTGAGTCCAAAGTGTTTCTTTTCTTTAATTATCGTATATACTTCTTTTAGTGCTACCGCTTAATAAGAACGTCTTGCTAAGACTTATGAATCTATAAAGTAGTGTATTTTTTGTCCATTAAATAGACTTGTATTGAACCCTAGCCTATAACAAGCAACTCGAGGTCGACCTGTTTCGACTTTTTAACTTTTGCCTTCTAATAAATATTTTATTTATTTTTTCTTGTTATACAACAATAGTACTGCGTCGTTTGTACTTTTAAAATTCATTTTTATACAATAATAAGTATATTCAAAGTAAGTACAGTTCAAGGTTCTATTTGCATATATGGTACTTTCTATACGTCAACGACAGAAGTAACTGAAGTCTTAACATGGAGATAAGCTGTTGTCTCTATGGATGTATCTTTATTTTTAAGAAACATTGATTAGTTAGAAAACACGATGCACAGAAAGACAGTGTAACAAGATACATCTGTCATTCAACTGAATGAAAAAATATAACAACATTTGAAGAGAACATCGTTAATAAACAACATATCTAGTTATATATTTCAGAATAGAACATATACGCGAGTTTGACTAATCTAGTCGGGCTTGGTGCATGTCTATTCATGACTTACATATAAATAATAAACTTGTTATTATGTAGGAGTGAAAGAACTTGACTGTTCTACTGTGTAAGTAGGAAAAAAAATACTTCGCAATCACTCCCACGCAATCGAATTTCAAAGTCCGATTCAAGGCTTTACTCTTATTGCAATTCAATCTAATGCCTTCATGGTTGGACTTGTCCCAACAAAATTTTATCTAGTGAAGTTTCATCTTCAGAATCACTAAATACATTTCTAAGAGATTTTCTTATTTACCATTTCTTGTAGATCATTTTTTTGTTGAGGATCATGTGTTTTCTTTTGTATAGCTTCAAGTAATAATTTATATCTCGTCAATCTTTGTAATGGTTTAATAGTTAAATCCGAAAATGATAAACGATTAGTAAAATTAGCCTCTATCCACTATAAAAAGGATAAAATAAATTATTTTCTTTGTATAAAAGTATTCATTTTCTTACAGTAATTAAATATTGAAATAAATCATCACGAGAAAATTTTTGTTTAAAATATTCTGCACTTGTTTTTTGATCGAGTACATAATGAAGATAAGGTTTAAAATAAAAATCAAACTAAAAAAATCAAAACTAATCTTATCATAATCGAAAAATAAAAAGAAAATCTTATTCTTTTTTTTTCTTTTTACATTAATAAAACCATTTCTTAAATCTGATGGATTCATTGATAAACCACTTTGTTGAAGTTTAACTTTAATTGGTAATAAAATTTCTTTCCAAAATAATAAATTTCCATGAAGTACATCTTGTATATTTGAAAATAATTTATCCATATCAATATCATTAAATATTCCATCACGTTGAGATGATTTTAATATACTTATACTTGTCATAAATATATCAGTCATGGTTAAGATTTGACGTATGTATGATACTTCAGTTGAAAGCATTTCATAGATTGCTTCTTGTTGAAGTTTTATTGTTTCAGACATAAGCTAAAAAGAAAAGAACAAACACATACGTTAATTATATTCAATTAAATATATATATGTATGTGGATGATTCTGTTGTCTACTATTGTACCGTTCGAAATTAGTGTCGATGTATCTGGCGATCACGCTCTGTGAGTGTGCTACTAAAATCAAGTTTCTATCTATTACCGCTTTCTTTTCTGTTTAGCTCGAAACGAAAAAGTATCGTTTTATAAAAAATGAAACATTCAAAGCTCTTTTTCATAAAAAGATTTACCGGTCTATGCACTATCGATTACTGAAAACTGTAAATTACTAGTTGTTTTTCTTATTGAGTAATGTACATTTTATTAGCATTCATTAGAGGGTCCTGTTTATTGAATATTTTTAGCACTCAAGTCCGAATCCAACTCGACAGTCCACTTCTGACCAAACTACAAAGAGTTAGAGCTGATTATTTCTAATCGTAAATTTCTGTTCAATAGCCAAAGTTGAACGGAAAATATCGAAATTATCAGTTGTTCTTGAGAAACATCCTGAAAGATATAGCAAAACGTGTCTTCACTAATTTTCAGCATGCCGTTCATGACTTCAAGATCTAAATGTACTATTTTTATGATCATTGTTGGAAGTATTATGTGGTTATGGATATGGAATGTGAATGTAGAAGATCCACACTCATTTTCCTTGAGTTTTACGTTCGTATAACAAACAGGTTAGAAGAAAGCATTCTATAGTTTCTTTTTTCAAACAAAGAACGAAAAGAACTTATAATGTTCTTATGATGCAGATACACTTGCAACTTGGTCGCGACAAAAACTGATTCAAATGACCTTATTATAAAATATATTCTTTATGATTTTTTGCAAATCCTTCGAAGAGTTTATAGATAATTAATAAACGAATGCTTAAAACCTATAAAAGCATGTTACATTCACAACGTCATCTGTTTTTATTCAAATTAGTAAAAAAATTTTCTTATCAAGTTTCTAAAAATCTTCTGACAATAAAATCTAACGAAAGAAAAAAATCTGGTAGCGAGCAAAACCAATTTTTCTTACACTTTCAAGTATTCTCTATCTACTAGTAACACTTTTAAGTGCACCTGTTTACTTTCGTTTTCAAAAAAATAACAGTACTTGAGACATCAGAATGATCTATGTATTTCTTTTTAAGTAGTTAATAATTTACCATTCGAGATTGTTCATTTAAAAATGGTTGCCATTCTTTTTCAATAACTAAATCACATTCATCAATTGAAAAATGTAATTGAGCTAATTTTGGTAAACCATGTGTTAACCATTCATCACATTTACGACGAATAAATGAAAGATTATTTTCAATTGTATCAGATCCATCCTTATTTTAAAATTAGTATTATATGAAATCATATCTAACATTTATATATATAAATATTCTTACTCGAGTAAATATACTACTGGTAAATAAACTTGAACGATTTGTTTTATTTGTTCGACTAGATTGTTGATTTGATGTTTTAGAATCTTGATTTTCATCATTATCTAACATCATACAATGAGTTGATAAACGTTTTGATATTGATTTTGAATTCTATGTTACGAAAAAAAAAACAACAGAAAACATTAAAATTATGAATGTATTTATTATTATTTTTTTTTGATAGATTTATCTCTCGAATATTGCACTAGATTTGCACTTAAAGATATTAAAATTACGAAATAACAAAAATCATTAATAGAAAACAAGTGTTTTTTTAGCTTTTCTGAATACCCATACAGAGCCTTATTGTAAATGAGGCTAATCATCTGTATTCGAGATATATAAAAATAAAACAGATAACAACTTAAATGTATTTATTGACAGTAGGCAATAAGGTTTTTATTTATTGATTAATGCCGATAATCAAAAATAAGTATCCATTAATAAGAAAAAAATTCGAAAGAGAAGAAATTACTTTGATGTGTCTATTACTATATGTATAAACCATGATCAGAAGGTCACATTTTTTTTTTCTTTGTTTTTTACTGTTATCAATAATAAAAGAAAACTAACAATATGATATCGATCATATACACCGATTAATATGCTTTTGGTTCTTTTTGCCTTGATTTCGACAATGACAAACAGGTGTTTCTTTTATTCTTTGATTGTCTATTAACGGCTGTCAAGTGTTTATCTAATACTTAAGAGTTATATATGTATGTATATGTCGACATACACTAATTTACTATATTACTCAATATATATATATATATATTTAGTTGTGATAACTTACTAATGATAAAATTGTTGAACCCATTGAATTTCTCTTTTCATTGCTTTCTTTTCCACCTGATGGTTTAGCTGATAATCGATTCGTTATTTCTAAATACAAAAACAAAAAAGAACATTATTATTTGTTATTTTATTTTATTGTTTTCATTCATTAAAAAAAAAGAAAGAGAGGGAGAGACCATTTGATTTCGATTTATCATCAATAGTATTTGCAGATATTATTTGTTTATCTTCATTTGATGATATGAAAACTAAATCATCATAACTAATACTTTTTTGTTTAATTAAACAATGAACATCGGCTGAATCAATTCGATTTTTTGACTGATTTGATAAATTATTAAAGTCTTCTTTTGATGATGTATCAACTTCAGTTAATGTACAATTCCAAAAGAATGTAAATGTTGATGAAGGTGAAGGTGTTGTTGGTGTTGAAGATAATATAGAATCTTTACTATTTGAACAACATGTTTTACGTTTTAATTTTAACACATCCGATAAATGTTTATAGAGAGATAATCGACGAATTTGTGAAGTATCTTCATGAGTCATAGCTTCTTTTAAAAAAATGACTTCTATCTAAGGCTATGTATGTTTTCTTCTTTTTTTTTGTGATGTGCAATCAATGAATGCAAGAAGCAACAAATACTAATCGTAAAGAGAAGTGGGAGAGAGAGAGAAAGAAAAAGAGAGAATTATGTAAGAAATATATACGACAATAACAACAATATTGATAAATAAGTTTTTTCTTCTTTTTTTTCGCTTTTTCCTTGAGTAGATTTTTTTATGGATCAACGATAAACAAATTCTAATCAATCGATGTCATCAAATGATATTATCATTTTCTCATTCGTCTAATTTTTTTGTTACAGAATAACTTTAACTTTGAACATAGTAACATCAGCGATGACATATCAAGATTATTCTATATATTACATCATTGTATATATATTTATCTATATATATACATATCCAATGCAAGAGTGTCTGTCAAGTGACTTCTTTTTTTTGTTTGAAGGGAAAAGACTAAAAAGGTTTTATCGTTAATTAGGAAGAAATTGCATAATCAGTTTTGGTCTTTTTAATACCTGTAACAACAAGATCATCCAAAAGAAGATGTTTAACTGGTTGATCCAAGGACAATGGTAATGTGGGTGCAGTTCGTAGACAAATATTATAAGCTTCAATTGAAAGATTATATTTTTCGAAAAGTTTTATTAACATTTCCCTGGAAAAGAGAAATATTTTTTTCAAAAAAGACATTATTTTATAGGTTTGTTTTTTTTGTACCGTAAAGTTGTATTTTCTGATATAGTTGAATATTTGAGTTGTTCTTTAAAATGTTGTCCATTAATATTAGTAAAATAAATATATGTATTATCCTAAAAGAAGAATATTAAATAAATAGAATAAAGGCAATTATTCACAAGGTCAAATGTTTCTCACATATCGTCTATATTCAATTTGCATGATTAGTCGTCTACACATTAATTCAAACTCAGCTTTCTTTCAATAAAAACTTTTTTTTTTCTATCTAATCAAACATACATCTATAATATGTCCTTGTCAATAAACAATCCATTTACAAATAAATAAACTCTCCGTAGATAAAAGCCAATTAAATTGAAGGTTTTTTATATTTACAAAATAAAAAAACAAAGTCTTGCAATTATTTTACGTACGATTGATATTAAATTTTCTTCTGATGCAGCATGTTTTCGTTGATCAAGTGTTGTTTCATGAATTGTTGATATTGCACTATTTCGACGATTTATACCCATGGATGTAGCAAGATTAATAACTGAAGCACTTAACTGTTTACCAACCATATTAGTCTATTTAAATATAAAAACAAAAAACATAAAATAAAATAATCCAAAAGAAAACAAAGAAAAAAATTTTCTTTACATCATTGGAATCCAAAACAATATTTGATCGACGTGTACGAAAAACATTGACTAATAAACTACGAGTTTTTTCTCTAAAAACAAATAAAATATTTTGATTCTTTTAAGTATCAATAGAAGAAACAAGGAACAATTTTTTAAATTTATTTTGCAAACCTTCGCATTATTAATAGCAATATAGATTAAAATTGATATATTAAATGATGACTAATTTTAATTCTTTTTTTTTTTTATTTATAAGATTGAAAATCAGCTATAGAATTTTTAGCTTACATTTTTTGTTTCTCTCTTTCTCTTCTCTTCTCACTATCTTCATCATATGATATGAGGTGTGAACAATCGCTATACAAATAGTGAAGTTTATTTACTTAGTATCGATGTAGACAACAAGAATAAAATAAAAAGAAGAAGCAAGATTAATTAGAATATGAATTCTTTTTATATCCGTTATCACAATCGTATCGATGTTGACAAGTAAACAATTACACTTTCAATTACACATGATAGATTTATAGATTTTAATGGAACTAATCTAACTGACAAATGAGTATAGAATATAGAAAAAAAAAGATGTTTTCTATTTTTGGATTATCATATTGAGAGAAAAATATGAATAATATTATAGAGTTCGTTGTTTTTTTTGTAAGATAAAACTGTTTTTGATAAAATATATAGATATACTTTGTTATATCGAATATCCTATTGACTTATTGTCTCGTTATCAACAAAAAAAAAGAAGCGAAAAAAAAATTGCTATTTACTATATATGTATATCTTATATTTAAAAAATAACTTACTCGGGAGGATGTAGAAATTGTTGATTGGTATTATGTTCGTTTGTTAAATCATTACTATTCACAAAATTTGAATCATTTGATTCACCTAATGAAATTTTAATAAAAAAAGAAAAATAAATACTATTCTTTCATTTTATGCTAAAATGTACTTACCACTGTCAAGTATAACCTCATTGTCATTGTCATCTTTATTACCATACTAAAATTAATGCATATAATAAAAACTTTTTCTTGCTTTTTTTTCTCATCTATATTGAAATGTAACACATGTTTTTTTTTTATTCAATGCCTTTTCATCTTGTCATATTTTATTGTAACAAGCAATCTTCGTTTTTTTTCGAGTGTTAAGCATATGATTATTGTTTGGATTTCATCTCCTTGAATTCAATTAGAATAACATTGAATATAGTAACTTAGTTTTTTTTTCATTTTAATCAAAGATTCTGTGTCGATTTAATAAAATCAAGAATGTATAAAATAAATACGCATATTTCATTTGATAATGGGCTTATACAAAAAACAAGGTCAGATGACAGACATTTCCTTTTCTTTAAAATTATTATTGTCAATTTAAGATGAAAAAAAAAGTGAAAGGCAGATATTAACAAATCAACAGACATGTATTTAATGAGGTAGTTCTTTATTTTAGTAAACGAACAGTACATGAATTAAAAATTGATGCTGTTTGCTTTTCGTTCTTACTATTTAAATATGCATGCGTGTAGACAATGTTATGATTGAATTAGGGCGTCCATACCAATGACGGACGTGCCATGTGATGGTCGGCATGTAAAATTGATTCTCGTCACACAACAAACGCATTTAAGAGAGAAGAAAACAAATCACTACTAATCGAAAAAAAAATCATCGTCATTCAAGCTTTTTGGGGGTGTGTTTTTTTTTTGTTGTTGTCTATTGAATATATTGCAAATCCAAGCTAAATTTGCATATCTTTAATTTCAAATTTTTCTTTTTTGTTTCGATGACTTTGAAATTAAAAGATGATGTGACAAGCACTTTAAAATCGACTCAATGAAGGAGAAAGAAAGTAAGAAAAAGAGATGATCAAGTGATATCACTATTACCATGACCATAAGTCTCTATAGGTAGAAGAAAATCAAACATTGTTAATGGGTATAGCAGAACAAGGATGAATAAAAATAATAATAATAGTAGGTAATCATCATCAATAGAAATCGACAGACGGTTCATGCCATTCAGACATATACAAGAAAGAGAATGAAAAAAAAAAGGTCAAAAACTATCAATGATATGATTCTCATATGTACTCATAAATGTGTATGTGTGTGTAATACGATGCAACGTCTGACATGACCGTGATAAAAACACACATTCATTTATTCATTCATTCCGTCTGGCTTGACCATCAGTATTGACTATGTTTTAGCTATATCATTACACTCAGAAAATGTCATTGCCATCATTGTTCCTATTCTCACTGAAAATAATCGCAGACAATCGGCTCTATACTATTAACAATAACAAATCGATACTGTCGACACTCATCATTATTGCTGTCTCGACAATTGTATCTACGTTTTGTGTATCAGGGTCAAATAATAATAAACTTTCCTTTCCTTTTTTTTTGTGAAATCAACAGTATTAACACTTGACCTTCGCTCTATGTATGTATGTATATATAGATATATATATGCGTATTTTTGTTGAAAGCACGCGTGCCGCTTTTAGACAAACAATTTTCGTGACTAATGATAAGCTCATCTTAGTTGACATACCTTTTCAATTAGTTGAGATGAATCATCATAATTGATGCGCTGTCGTTGTTGCAATGAATTATTATTATTATTATTATTGATATTATTATGATCACTACTATCATCTGACTCTGTTAATGAATTAGATGATTGAGATAATGTTGATGATTGTTTTTGTTGTTGTTCATGGTTGACATTGTCGAGTAAAAGATGATTTAATGCTGTTGAAAATGATGGACGATGTTGTGCAGATGATGATGATTCTAAAAGATTATGTAATAATGATGGCAGACTTTGACGTCGTTTATTATGTGAAAGTAATTGTTTTTGATCATGAAGATTTTTTGATGATGATAATGGTTGATTATCATCATTATTTGAAATTGATTTTGATAAAGGTCTTTTACATACGGAACAACATTTATATGTAGTTCCAGAGGTTGTTGCTGTCGTTGATAATGATGATGATGTATTAAGTTTCGAAACAAGAGCGCCAAATATTGATGGACGTTTTTTATTTTTAGATATTAAGTCAAGATTAGGATAATTTTGACAAGCTAGACATGGATGTTGTTGATGCTTGAAATCCGTTTTTGTAAGTGATATTTTTGACGTTGAATGATTCCCGGAGCGAAATGTTAGTGATTGAAATAGACGTGAAAATGTCTCTTTTGACAAGCTTGACTTAGAAGTTGCCGATAGTTTTCTTGTCTTAGATGGTAATATATTTATTGATTCATTATCATCATGTTGTTCTCCATGTAAATTTGTTTTTGAACCAAGTGCAAATGAAAAACTTCGTTGTTGATTAATTGGTATTTCTATATGTCCTGTTGCTTCATTTTGTTTAAGTGATAATGTACGTGAAATAGATGTACGTTTTAATTCATTTTCTAAAACTTGATCAAATTCATTAAGTATAGCAACATGTGGATGATCATCCTTATCAACATCATCATCATTACCATTATCATCATCATCATCGTCATTGTTATTAACACAAATTTGTGGTATTGATACTGGTATTGCTGATTGTTGTTGAGTTTTACCTTTAAATTTACGCATTGTAGTAATAGATGATGTTGAATCAGTAACTAATAATTGTGCGATTG